TCTTCTTCTTTTCTCCTCCGCCTCTCCCTCATCTTCTTCTCCTTCCTCTTCTCTCCTCCTCCTCCTCTTCCGCCCATCTTCTTCTTCTTCTTCTTCTTCTTCTCTCCTCCTCCGCCTCCCCCTCATCTTCTTCTCCTTCATCTTCTCTTCTCTTCCTCTTCCGCCCATCTTCTTCTTCTTCTTCTTCTTCTTCTTCTTCTTCTTCTTGTAGGACCGCCGCCACAGCAGGTCGCGTGAGGCGCGCGAGGTGCGTGAGGGGCGGCAGGTGTAAAAAAAAAATTAAAAAAAAAATCTTCATCTCAGACAACCCGTCCACCCCCCCCCTCACACCAGACAACCCGTCCCCCCCCCCAAAACCAAAATTTTATTGCAGATTCGGGGTCCTCTCGCAGAGCACAGGAGGACCCCGCCTTCGAAAAAAATATATATATATTTCTGGGCAGTTTTTTCGCCCGCCCGGTTTGCCCGGGCGACCCGCCCGGGCCCCGCCCGGCCGGGGGGCGTCCGTACTCAGGAAAAAAGACCATTTTTTTTAATTTTGTAATGACACTTCAGAAAATTCATCACTACATTCATGGAACCATGGTCCATATTTTTGGCATTATTTTTCTCATATTATGCGCACGAATGCCATGAACATTATATTATTATTATATAGCATTTCAATTTTATATTTTCCTTTTCCTTCCTCGTTATTTCTCATGAAATGTTATTGTCATGTGTGATATGTGTGGACTGTATGACGTACCTAAATATATTTAAAAAATTTTAATATTTTTTCTTCATCTCAAATAAATGTTTTTCCTTCCTTCCTCACCATTTCTCATGTCCATGTTTCTGTACCCTGTGTGCACCTTTTTTTTTTTTTTTTCATAATTTGGATCGTTTCATTCATTTCTGGATTTATGTGTGTCATCCTTGTGCAGGGGCCATGCTTATCGTTCCAATTTTAACGGATGTCCTGAGGGACTCTGTGCACCTTATTTTAAATTTCTTCCCCGCCCCCCCCCTTTTTTTAATTGAAAAATTCTCTCCCACGGTCCCAACCCCTTTTTTTTCTTTTTTTTTTAACAAGTAAAACAGGTCCTTATGGTCCTGGCTCCATGTTCACTCTGGGGATCGTCAGCCCGGTTCCTATTCCACCGGCAAGTCAGAATGAAATATAACACCATGTACACCCTTATGCTTCCTTCCGTCTGGAAATTTCTTTCCCTTTTTCTTTATAAGTACCCTCCACAGCTTTCCTCAAGTTGTTCACAGGGTCACAGGGTACAGAAATGTTCTTCCTTCATTTCTCACATCCACTGAAGGTCCCGTCAAGGATCCCACACTGCCATTCTGGAGGCCACTATCTTTCATAGGAGCCTTCCACTTTGCAAAATTGAACTCACTCTGTCTCTGACACTGACACTGTAGTGCTGACAATGAACTCATTTCAAAGATTCTCAACTGGCCCTGCAGTGAACACTCTGACAAGATCCACCCTGGCAGTGCATCCTCCTACTGATTGACTCTCGCAATAGCCACCCTGACAACACTCTCTGGCAGTGGGCTCCCCTGACAACTGACTCTCTGATGGTGGATTATGTTCGGTAGGTGAGTTCAATTTTCCCACTCCACTTCACACCTTCCCCAAGCCCTTCCCCCCCGCCCCCCCCCTCCCTCCCCCCACCTCTTTCCTCTGCTGTTGCTGCTGAAACAAACTTCTGAAAGTTTGAAATGATCACTCAAGGTTAGAAAGTGGCGGGCAACTCACTGATTTTATGAAGATGATGCAGAGCAGCAGAAGCAAATTACCTCAGCAGGAGTTGCAGTTCGATGGAAAATTCGTGTGATGCCACGCTCAAGGTCTGGGCTCCTCTTCAGTGTTGAAAGGACACTCCCTAACACCCCCTGCCCTGCCCGACTTCCACTCCCAGAGATTCCTGCTCCACCGACACCTGACATGCTTGCTCCCCCACCCCCCTTGCCACTTCCAGGGAACCGTCCTTCACCTAGTGTTGTCGTTGAACTCGCTATGCTCTCTGCAATTTCACTTACTGCATCAAGCCTTGCCTCGATCATTGATCGGTCCTTCAGTGGATGTGAGACCTGCCGATAATAAAAAGAGGAAAAAAAAAAAGAAAAAAAAAAAGGAAGCTACAGATGAGGCAAGGATTTCAATTCATGAAAGCCTGGTTCAAGGGTGGACATATTACCCCACAGTGCCCACACGCACAGCAGAAAAAAAGAAGAAACAGGAAAACAAAATGGGTAGGAAATGGGAGCACCAAGATTTGGAGGAAGTGATATTAATTTATTAAATAAATAATCATAAATCTCCCTTAAAATCTGCCATCGTTTAATATTCGCCCGGAATTGGAAATGGCATATAATTGGCGTCACGTCAGTAACAAGTCAGGAAATTGGTTTGTGCTTGATGGTCCCACCTGAGGATCATTTTTCTGTAGCTACTAGCAAGTATATTTCTGAGGATGTTCATTTTTCGTGCAGCACAGGGACTGACAATTCTGCTAGGCTACCCTGCTGCTGGCTCTGGCAGCCTGATCGCCTGGCCTCGTCAGGTTCAGCCAGCCTTGGAAGTTGGCACCAAAAAAACAGAAAAGCAATTTAGCAAATCCAGAAAAATCAACGTGGTGCAGAATTGCAGATCAGACTGTTACTATATTCATCTCATTCTGTCAGGGTATGGGCTGTGCAAGGAAAATGACCGATTGCGAAATGACAGAAATACAGAATGCAAATCACATTGAAAGCCAGAAAGTCCAATGCTGTCCAGAAAGCAGAAATGCACTGATATTCCACCAACAGAGAACCAAAGCACCGAATCCGAATGTCAATGAGAGCATACCCTCGCCGCCACCAACATATGTATAGAGAGCCCTTCCTCCTACTTGATGCTCAGTGCCCAGACTACTATCTCACAGCTACTACCAGCCTACGAATTGACAATGCAACCTGTTGACGTCAGCAGCAACAACCGAAATACATGAAGACGTCGACCCTGTCGACCATGGCCAAGACCTGGTACATGCCCTCATATCATCATCCTCATCTCTCTCTCTCTCTCTACCCACGTCTTCCTCCTCATACACAAAGACAACGATCACCTCCATTAGCGATCCAAGCCAAGCCCTGGCTATGTGGGCAGCGCCCTGTCTTCTTCCAGCGCCCACACGCACTGCCTAGCTCCTCGCGCTAGTGCACAGCGCACAGCCCGTGAGCACACGCTCAAGCAGCGCTGCCGCATGCACTGCCTAGTGCCCAAAAGAGCCCACCAGTGACAAGCTCTTTCCTTTATGGAAAATGCGCACCCAGTTTGCTGTCTGGCTGGCCCTCGTGTGTTTCCAGTAGCTTCCGTTTGGGTCAAAGTGTTTGCGCCCAGGGCCACTCAGAAAGTGGCCCGGGACCAAACTAGTTAGGCCTGCCCAACCACCCAGGTGTAAACGCAAGGTTCTCCCTGCTTCCGTTGCGCTGCTGGAAGTGCAATGAACCCAGATCATGAAGACACTTGTCAACAATGCAAGCCCAGATGAATATAAACCTGCTGAGGATTATCGATAATCATAATCGTGTCCAGATAGAATGAGATGGGAAAAACATTCACAGACGAAAAGAGAGAGGAGGACTTAGAGAGTGGAGAGACAATGCCCACTTCTGCCTTGGGCGTCCTCCTCGATCAGCACCTCAAATAATCAATAGTCTGAACGTACATCTGAAGTTCTACTACAATGTACCACGTGGCACGTCAATCAGTCCTCATCAGCGCACTGGAGCAATGTCGACCTCAAGATGACCAGGTACGTGTCCACGATTACCCCACAGTCATGATCTCCTCCTGAGTGACAATGAATCAGAACAGCAGTGCCAGTCACGTAGCCCAGCCACGTCAGCATAGTACACGTGGCAGCGGCCACATCGGCAGCGACGTGTGGCAGCGGCCACATCGGCAGCGACGTGTGGCAGCTGCCATGTCAGCATGCCAGCCAGCCACCATGCCGAGCCAGCAGCGCGTCGCCGTAGTCACCCAAATGCCAGCGCAAAGCCACCGTCCATGCGTCGCAGCGTCCAACCGGCGTCGTCGTCAACACGTAAAGTCAGCATTGACACAAGACTGAATGAATGTTAAAGTCAGGAGGTCAGCGCTTATGTAGCGTTGACAAGGGGTCTGGACCCCGGATAATGCATCCCTCAATCGTCAAGATCTTAGTGCAAATGACGGCCCAAATTGGCCTGAAACCGAATTCCCTCTAGCCTTGATGCTGTCTGGGTACCTGCGCACAACAAGTGAGTGTATCCAACCAAGGGCCTGGGCACGATACCTTTGACCTGACAATTGACTTAGACTTTGGACTTTCCTAGGGCAGTGCGTGGTCACACTGCCTGGTGCAGGCCGAGTTTGGCCTGCATCGTTTGGGCTCCGTTTCGAGGGCCCAGACTGCTGCAGAACACGGGTTACTGCATTCCTGCCGACCCATTTTCGAATTCCATCGCAGAAACAACTAAGACTTCAACCCACGTTCATATGCTGATACAATATCAGGAGCAGTTTCAAGTAATTCTCGTTTACTAGACCATCTGTCCTCAGATGGTGCCTGAGATTTGAAACGTACCTTGAACTGCTTCTGAGGCCGTCCACGTCCACCTGTAGAAAAGTAACCATGCTCTATAATCCGGTCTACTTCATATCTGCCTTCCATGGATGGCGGAATCATAAATGGTCTATTTGGGAACTCACTTCCTTCTACATAGGGCAATAATTTGGACGCATGAAAGACGGGATACGTTTTGAGGTGAGGGGGAATATCGACACGATAAGATGGTCCCTCTGCATCCCCAATTACTTTGAGAACTTCCCAAGGTCCAAAATAGACGGGCAAAAGTTTCTGAGACACATCTTCTTCCAAAAAACTTTTTGGACTTGACCCAGACTAGATCACCTTCCTTGAATGTTGATGGTCGGCGATGCTTGTTAGCTTGTTCAATCATTTGGTCCTCAACTTTCTTTAGATTGTCTTTTACTTTCTTGATGTCTTCTTGAAACAATACTGCATACTCCCGGGTCCCTGGAGGTAACCTTAGGAATTGGTCCCGTGTTAGCACATCAATGGGACGCTTAGGTTTCCACCCCTTGTGCAGTGCATTAGGCGTACGCCCTGTAGCGGTATGAACACTATTGTTGTATGCACTTGCTATCTTGGGTAAGTTCCAATCAATCTGATCGGGTCTCACATACATGCGCAAAAGCTGTTGGCACAAACGGTTGATCTGTTCACTTTGTCCATTCGTTTCAGGGTGTCACCCTGACGACATGGTCACTCGTGTACCGTAGGCTATCATAAGTTTTGGCCATGGCATACTTGTGAACCTGGCATCACGATCAAATACAATGGAGAGGGGAAAACCATACTCAGTTCATCGCAGCTGAAACTTTTGAATGACAAGTTCGGTTCACGCTTCTGTGGGTAAGGGAATAAACATGGCATATTTAGAGAAACGAGTCCACAATAACCATTACTTGACTATTGCCATTTCGGCTTTTGGTGAGGCTCATGAAGTCTATTGAGATAGACTCACCTCGTTCGCTAGGAATCGGTAATGGCTTCAAAAGACCGAGTGGATTTTCGTGTGACGGTTTGTTTCTCTGACACACCAAACATGTACGAACATAAGTTAGTACGTCATCTTTCAATCCCTTCCACACAAAGCGTTCTCTGATTTCTGCATAAGTTTTATTGAAACCAAAATGTCCTTCAAAGTCGTGACATTCCCCAGTTAGAAGACTTTTGATCTCTTCTTGATGAGGAATACACAATCTTTGTTCAATTTGGTCTAACAAGAAAAGCAAACCATCGGTCACTCTATAGTTGGGAAGTAGAGATGGATCTTTCGCAAGGACATCCAAAATAGGGTTCCAAATAGGATCGGTAACATATCCTTGACGAATTTTATCTTTCAAATCACCCCCAACATTCAGGTAGGAGATAATAGTACCAAAGAAATCGCAACGTCTGGACAATGCATCTGCAACCACGTTAGACTTACCTTTGATAGTCTTCAATTCAAAATCAAAAGTATCAATGAATGCAGACCAACGTACTAACTTATTAGAGAGTCTAGGTTGTGTCTTTATCACTTCTGAGTAGAGTGGTTTGAATACACAGTGAGGTACCTCCTTAATAAGTAGTGCTTCTATGTGTCCAACGCACAGACTAAGGCATATAGTTCCCTTTCATAGGTGGAGTTGGCGACCTTGTCTAATGGTAGACGTGCGAACATAAACTCAATTGGTCTGCGCCAATCCCATACTGACTTGCATCAGCAATAACGATGAAGGGAAAAAACATATCAACAATTTTCATAACAGGTTAGTGAGTCAACGCATACTTTACCTTCTTGAAGGAGGACTCACAGTCCTTGTCCCACAAACAGATAGCTCCTTTCTTTAATAATCTTCTCATTGGTGCGGCAATCTGTGAGAAGTTTCTTACAAAGTTCGTATAGTAGCTTGCCAAACCAAGGAAAGATCGTAACTCAGTTACAAACTTCGGTCGTGGCCAATCTCTAATTGCTGATATTTTCTTTTCTTCGGGCCTTAGGCCCTCCTTGTTCACTATATGTCCAAGGTATGAGACTTCAAACTTAGTGAACTCGGACTTCTTTGGGTTTAGCTTGAAATTGCCCCCATGGAACTTTCCTAATACGAGACATAAGTGTTTTTCGCGATCTTCTAGTATCTTATTGTACACTAGAATGTCGTCGAGATAAACAATGACGAACTGGTCCAACCATTGACGAAACAGTTCATTCATGGATCTCTGGAAGGTCGCTGGGGCGTTAGTCAGTCTAAAAGGCATAACCACGAACTCGTAGTGACCATACCTGGTTCGGAACGAAGTCTTGTGTTGATCCACGGGATCCACCTCGATCTGGTGGTATCCAGACTTTAGATCAATCTTACTGAAAAACTTGCAACCCTGCAACTGGTCCAACAAGTCGTCAATGCGTGAAAGTGGTTCGGCGTTCTTAACAGTGACGACATTCAACCCTTTGTAGTCAATACAAAGACACAACTCACCTTCCTTTTTGCG